CCAAACATGTTTGGGCTGTCAAAGTACCTTTGAAAATCAAAGTGTTTATGTGGTTTCTCCATAAAAAAGTTATTTTAACTAAGGACAACTTGACAAAGTGTAATTGGACAGGACCTACTAGGTGTAATTTCTGTGACGGGATGAGACGATCAAACACCTCTTTCTTGATTGCCCGCTAGCTAAAGTTTTATGGAGGACGATCCATATTGCTTTTAATATTACTCCACCGAGTTCCGTCAACACGTTATTTGGAACGTGGCTTAACGGGGTACAGCCCGAGTTAGCAAGACATATTCGTGTAGGAGTCTGTGCCATCGTCTGGAATTGCAGAAATGACTTGGTTTTTAACAGGACAACACACATTCATTTTCTGCAGGTTATTTTCAGAGCCACGGCGTTGATCCGTTCGTGGTCGCTACTCACTCCGACGGAGGCCAGGGAGCGTTTGGTTACTGGATCTATCCGCTGGGAGATGGTAGCTCAGAATATTTTCAACCGGTTTGGATGGCGATCATGTAATAGGATAGGCAATTAGTTTATCTATCTCTTTTTGTGCCAGCCGGGTGTGGCGTCTTTTGTTTGGCTAGTTTGTGTTTCTAGCCCATTTTGGCTCTGTGTGAGCTTTTTCACTTTTTAATTGAAGACTTTGAGACCTTGTTAGAACTTATATTTTTGATTTAATAAGATGTCCATATGCATTGTTCTGATGTAGAGACCGGGAAGTCTCCTTTTCGAAAAAAATATATGATGTGTCTACGACGCCAGCCCACCGCGGGCAGCTCGGCGTCGTGCCGCCGGCCATTCAACACCGCGTGAGGCACCAATGCAAAGTGCTTATGGTGGGTACCAATCGACGGGCATGCCGATAGTTAAACAATGGTAGTCGTTGGATCTCTCAAGCCGGATGGGCTATCAGCTATGGTACAAATAGCACGTGTATGAGTTGAACAGAGCGGGTGTACCTGCGATCTGTCCTAAAATGGACAAAATAATTGGTGATCTACTGATCTGAAGCAGTAGTACTAGTATTATTTTGTACCGTTGCAGAGTTCGAAAAAGAAGTGCACCGATGCTAGAGCCGGGCGCGTCGTGGGTGTACACGATCACGCATGCACCGAATCCAGAGAACCGATTGCTTTGCTACCAAGATCTGTCCGTAGAATTAATTTGCACTACCGATGCTAGAGATGGGTGGATCGTGCTCGCGGACGCATGTGATGCATGGAGCGAGAGATCGACTGATTTTCATATTCACCATCAGTATCTTGAGCGTCGTGTAGCATCTCATTTGGGAACACCTTTGCGTTAACGTTGCGTGAGTCCCATGTCTTCCGCATGATTGGGAGGGCGACGGTCGGCCAGATCGCCATCCGTTAAAGTATACATAACATAAAATACTTTTTACAGCTGACATTTTTTTCAACGTTCTCATTTAACTTCCGACGCAAGAAAAAATTTACAGGGCGTAAAAATACGACGTAGTGATGTTAAAATAGAGGGGGTGAAGAAGAAATATTCTTCACCCAGGGTGACGAATAGCGTGACCCTAGTTGTTGACCAATTTCTTATCTTAAACTCGAACCCAATAATAAGTCTAACATTCCCCTTTGACATAGTTGGAGCAAAGCAGGCGATTGTGACTAAATTTGAAATATTGTGTTTGTCATCTTTTCGCTTCGCCATCATTAAATATGTCTCTGGTGGGTCGACAACTAGGACACTAGTTGCATCTCCTTTTGGTGCCTTTCCCGTCTCACATGTATTCCCTCATGTTGTCACGGCAAAAGTGTCATGGACGCTAGTAACGATCCAAATGTTGTAGGCTGTAGTTGTTGCTGATGAGTAGATGTATACCTAGCCTTAGATGACGATGTCAAGGTAGTTGATCATGATGAAATACCCATGTTGAGGTAGTTGTGGTCGACGGTATACTCGTTGCATCGGTGTAGCCACACAAAGCCGGAGGCACAAAAATTGTGCTATACCATAGATGACAGAGCACCAGTCGTCGATGATGCACCTTGCAAATGTCAGAGGATGTTGTCTGCAAGGAGATTCCTGGTTTTACTAGGTCTAGTGGAAACCCGTCGAACACACATCAATTTTTTCAGAACTGTGTAGGTTTTTAGGGAGTCATCACAATAGAGAGGGCGTGTCGATGCAGTCTTGTCATCGTAGATGACACAATCAATTTTCGTTGTCATGGCACGGTCCTTCTTGTTGTCGATGGCACGTTTTGCAACATAGTTTATCGGAGAATGTTAGAGGTGTCCATCTCTTGAATGAGGCAGTTGTTGTGTGTGTGCCAAAGAAGTTCACGAAGACCACTTGATGAAGACTTTGGTAACAAAGTGTCAGTGACACCGTAGTGTCAGACGTGTCGACAATGATGTGTCGCTTGAAAAATATCCCTTGTGGCCACGATGTCCTTCCATGTCGGAGAAGTGAATGAAGACCGCATCACGCTGCACACCGGCATTTCGTCTGGATGGTGCACGTTGATTGCACATCGTTTTTCCCTTTAGCCACCACATTCCAGGGTCGAGGTGGGAAACTCATGCGGCTCCAGCGCCGGCTCACACGCAGGGACTCTCCCGCGATCACACGTGCTCCAGCCGCATGCATGGAAGGGATGTCACCACGTAGTCCCGGCATGCAATGTGTATGAACATATCGTATCATATACAGCAAGAAAATGGGCACGCATGGTGCACGAAGGGGCACGTCCTCTCGTCCAGAACCAGCCGGTTGCATGCAGCTGACGTTTCCCGCGTTCTGATCGACCTGCCCAGCGGCCAGCTCGCCGGCGTAATATACTAAGAACCACGGGCGGCTCGTGCATGCAATAAACTAATGGCCATGCATCCAATGCGGGGAGCGAGAGAGATCGAATGCATTTTTGCAGATTAATTCACCATTTTTTTCTGAGTGAAGTGCACTGTAGGTCCTTAGACTATTTCAGGGGTGTCACATAGGTCCTCGAATTATGAAAACCGTCATTTAGATCCTCGAAGTACAGTAAGTGTGTCATCCAGGTCCAAAATCTCACTAACCCCCTCTAAATGGCCAGCTGGCATGGTGAATAGTGCGAAAAATAAAACAAATATGAACAAAAAATCTGAAAATCTTTGGCATCGAAGATACCCCTGGTGCGTGAATAGTAAAAATGTCCATTAATTCAAAAAAATGTTCGCGAATATGGGAAAAATATTCGCGACTTTAAAAAAGTTCACAAACAATAAATTTGAAAATATGTTCGCGAACCACAAATATGGTTTGTGGGTATGGAAAAAAATGTTCGCGAACCACAAAAATTCGTGACTTCAAAAAATGTTAGTGAACTTTTCATAGTCGCAAATATTTTTTCCAAATTCATCGTTCGCGAACATTTTATTAAAGTCACGAATATTTTTTCCAAATTCATCATTCGCGAACATTTTTTTAAAGTCATGAATATTTTTTCCAAATTCATCGTTCGCTAACTTTTTTTAAACTCGCGAATATTTTTCCAAAATTCATTGTTCGCGAACATTTTTTTAAAGTCGTGAATATTTTTTCCAAATTCATCGTTCGCGAACATTTTTTTAAAGTCGTGAATATTTTTTCCAAATTCATCGTTCGCGAACTTTTTTTAAACTCGCGAATATTTTTTTGAAGTCGCGAATATTTTTTCCAAATTCATCGTTCGCGAACATTTTATTAAAGTCACAAATATTTTTTCAAATTCATCCTTCGCGAACTTTTTCTGAATTAATGACCATTTTTACTGTTCATGCGCCAGGGTCTCTTCGATGACAGAGGATCTCATTTTTTTGATTTTTTTAATATTTATTCTTTGTCGTGTACTGTTCATCATGCATGGGAATTCAGGACTGTTTGCCACGCACTGTTACGGTTACTGTTTACGTGCCAGCTGGCCAGTTAGAGCCTGTCAGGGAGATTTTAGATCTGAATGACACATTTACTGCACTTTGAGGACCTGGATGATGATTTTCATAGTTCGAGGACCTACGTGACATCCCTGGAATAGTTCAAGGACCTACAGTGCACTTCACTCTTTTTTTCTTCTAAAGATGAATAGTAGATGATCAGGTGGGTGCTGGGAGCCCATCACACCGGTTCCACTAGATGAAACAAGCAAAGATGGGCAGATTCACCGATCACCCTGAGCTGCATACATGCTCGTGGCCGAAGCTGGCTTGGTTGACGTCGTGCATGATGTGGATCCACCCATACCTCCTGCATGTATGATTGGTTGGACTTGGATGTGCTGCTGGCCGGATCTTCGGAAAAGATGTTGGGCGGCCTACCCCAATTATCCTGGCCGCTCGTGTTCCTCGGGATCATCACAAGTCGTCGGGTGGTGAAACCAAGACCAGCTCATCGTAATCCCTTCCATTTTGCCCTAAAGCCTGTTTTTCAGTGTAACAATCAGCACTACGGCTGTGCCAAATAATTGGAGCACAGTTAACCAGCGTGCATACTGGACAGAGGGAAGGACAAAGGGCATTTTTCGGGTCCCTCCGCCGACGTGCGCATCTTTCGTGTTCGCCACCCCAAAAAAGCGAAAAACTACGCGGCCAATAGACTGTCAGTAGTGTTAATCTGTCCTGGCCAGCCAGTCTGACTGAGATGACTTTAGTAAATCGCAGTTTCAGTGATCCAACGCGGATGTCCAGACTCCCTCGCCGGTGTGAAGCGGCGACCACGATAGTGAGGCGGGCAGGTACGTGTAGGCGCGCAAAATCCGCGTCATATCTCATATCCGCGTGCCGTCTCATGGAGTAAGTATGACACCAACCAGACGACGGGCTAGCTAGAGACGAACAGCAAACTGCAAACCTCCCAGACCCAAGCCGTTACTATATATACACATCCGCCTGGGGACGATAACAGTCAACGACGGCACGGCGGAACACACACCCACACTCCCACACTCTCACGAGCTCCTCGCCGCGCTAGCTAGCCGAGCCGAGCCTCTCGTCCTACGATCGACGAGCATGGGCGGCGGGGACGAGCATGGCGCGTCGGCTCGGCTGGAGAGCATCCTCACGGACTCATCGGCGCCGCGGGCGGAGCGCATGTGGGCGGCGGGGGCCATCGAGCTCGGGATGCTCCTGCGGCTGGCCGTGCCGGCGGTGATCATGTACATGATCAACTTCCTCATGTCCATGTCCACGCAGATCTTCTCCGGCCACCTCGGCAGCCTGGAGCTCGCCGCCGCCTCCCTCGGCAACACCGGCGTCCAGATGTTCGCCTACGGCCTTATGGTACGCACTCACGCACGCTCACCTCCATCTCATCTCCAAGACAATCGTGTACGTGTAAAATCTTCGTAACCAAACCACTCATTGATGGCATTCTCCATTTCGGTTCATAGATAGTACAATACTTTCTTTTTCTGGGTTTATTAATCTCATGTATTTTGAGTCACACGTTGGCTTTATATTTTATTAAGAAAATATAAACTATATATGTCACAATAACATACTGTGGAAAACCTGTTTTAAAATCATTTGTAAAATCATGAAATATTTGCGGAACCGAATAACTCCATGCATTCGCTATTTTCAGCCTAGATAGTACTCGGTCTGTACAGAGGGAGTACTTTCTTTGACGTGTTCGGGGTTTATTATTCTTTGGTAACATCTCCATTTTGGTTTAGATAGTATTTTCTCCATCATGGCTTATTGTTCACCATATTTGTGGGCAATACTTTGCCGACAAATTAACTAGTAAAGTGCAAACCAGATGTCGTAAACATTATACCATGGGAAAACTCTTTAAAATCATTTATGTATGTGTAATATTCGCGTATAACCAGGCCACTCCTTGATGACATTCTACATTTCGGTTTACATAGTAGGCGCGCGCAATGATAGTAATGTTCAAATTGATTCATCATTAGTGGGCGTTCACTTGACCAAAAGGGCATTTCACTTGCTGCTTAGATCCAATATGGTACACACTACACCAGGGTGCATTCGGTGTTGTAGGCGCTGCAGGGCGAAAGATGCGCGGGGAAAGCTCCAGGGAATATTTGGAGCCGTGGGAAATAGCCGATCGCCGCACCTTTTTCTCCCATTTATCCAAAATCAGACAACTAATCCCGTGTTTAGTGCTGTGATGGTCGCTAAAGCATGCAATAATTGCACGTCACACGATCCACTCGGCACGTGCATGCATGCACGGTTCAATTAACCTGTCATTAATGGGCGTTGATTTGACCAAAGAGTACCAGTTGACGTTTATTTCATTGACATGAGCTTGGATCGTGTGTCACTCATGGGGTTCATTTCTTTAATGAATGATGGGTGGTTGATGGACTGCAACGGCGATCGACTTGAGACAAATTTGACTCGTTGAGTAGTTGGCACGTCCTAGAGAGAAAAGTTTTCACGTGATTGGGATATGGATGTGTTTGCCCTAGCTACTACTCTCTCCGTTCCATATTACTCGTCGCTGATTTAGTACAACCTTGAGCATATACAATACATGCTCATGTGTTATGCATGTGTACATGTTTTCATGGAGAAAGAACTTATGATGTGATATAGAAGAAAAATATGTGCTCGAAACACATTTGCAAAACCTACTTTTCTTAGCACAAGACATGTGTTGTAAGCTATACAATCTAGACTAGAGTGAAATATATGACAGTAACAAGACAATATGTTTTTGCAGCTGGGCATGGGTAGTGCAGTGGAGACCCTTTGTGGACAAGCCTACGGTGGGCACAAGTACGACATGCTCGGCACCTACCTACAACGCTCCGCCGTTATCCTCTGCTGCACCGGCATACCTCTCGCCGTGATCTACGCCTTCTCAGAGCCACTCCTCCTCCTGCTGGGACAGTCATCGGAGATAGCCCGCGCCGCGTCCATCTTCGTGTACGGCCTGATCCCTCAGATCTTCGCCTACGCCATCAACTTCCCGATCCAGAAGTTCCTGCAGGCACAGAGCATCGTCCTGCCGAGCGCTTACATCTCTACGGCGACGCTCGTGTTGCACCTGCTGTTGAGCTGGGTGGTCGTCTACAAGGTTGGTCTCGGGCTGCTCGGCGCCTCGCTGGTGCTTAGCCTGAGCTGGTGGATCATTGTCGTGGCGCAGTTCGCATACATCATCATGAGCCCGACGTGCCGGCGGACATGGACAGGGTTCACTATCAAGGCCTTCTCTGGGTTGCCGGAATTTCTGAAGCTCTCCGCCGCGTCCGCTGTGATGTTGTGCCTTGAGACATGGTACTATCAGGTCATGGTGCTCATTGCTGGCTTGCTCCCCAACCCTGAGCTTTCCCTGGATTCCCTCTCAGTATGGTGAGTCCCCTTTATCTGCACGTGTTCATTATTTTTGGGTTGTAACGTGTACTTATATAGGAGTGCCTAGTAATCAATCCATAGAGTGAGTGCTGATTAACTTGCGACTTGTGCAGCTTGACAATCTCTGCTTGGGTGTTCATGATATCAATAGGTTTCAACGCCGCCGCAAGGTTCGTGACTCTAAACGGAATGGCTTGGAAACAAACTAATTAGTTACTTAACTATAGATAAGCTAATTGACAATGTTTCACTTCAGTGTTAGAGTGAGCAATGAGCTTGGTGCCGGCAACCCCAAGTCTGCATTTTTCTCGGTTTGGGTCGTGACGGTGCTCTCTGCAATAATCGCTGTCGTCCTTGCTGTTGTGATCATGTGCTTCCGCAACTACATCAGCTACATCTTCACAGAGGGTGAAAGAGTTTCCGACGCCGTGGCGGATCTGTGCCCGCTGCTCGCCATCACCATCATTCTCAATGGCATCCAACCTGTACTGTCAGGTAAATTTTACAAAAATTCTGCACGCCAACATTGTACTATCTTTATTGTTGACTACTCCCTCTGTCTCATAATTAATGTAAGACGTTTACGTTTGCCAAAAAATGTCTTACATTATGGGACGGAGGGAGTAGTACATTAGCACAATCTTTCAGAAAAGTGCTCATGTCAACTGCATTATTCAAGCAACAGGGCAGGTTGATTTTGATTCCAATTCTAGTGCTAGGAAAATTATATTGAGTGTGAAACATTGTACCCAAGCTCTATTTCAACATATATATACATGGTGATTGAACTTTACTGACATGCATAGAAATATCAGGTGTTGCTGTTGGGTGTGGGTGGCAACAATTTGTTGCATACGTCAACGTCGGCTGCTACTACATCGTAGGTGTTCCCCTAGGTGTTCTTCTTGGTTTTGTCTTCAACTTTGGCGTAAAGGTAATGGATTTATCTGTAAATTCTAAGAGTATATAATCTCCTGCATGACGAAATATTCAGTTCTGTATATCTTCTAACTTATATTTCATGGTGGAATCATGTGCTTACTCACAGGGCCTTTGGGGTGGCATGATTGGAGGAACGGCCATGCAGACTGCCATTCTGTTGTGGGTCACCATTAGAACTGATTGGAGCAAAGAGGTAATCCCTGTGACTTAACCTATAGAGCAGCAAGCTTAACTTTATAGCTCCATGTATTTATTTTGCACAAAAATGTAAATGATGAAAACGAAGTTAAACTGCCTGAGGTCCGAAGATTTAGTCGGTCACTTGCTTGCTCACCGTTGCTCCTTCTTGACAGTATATGTTGATGTAAATTATCTAAAATATGTGTTGATAAAGCTAATAAAGATACAATATGTAATTGCTTTTGTGTTCTTATGTTTGTGTAACCTTCAGGTAGAGGAGGCCCAAAAAAGATTGAACAAGTGGGATGATACAAAGAAGGAGCCCCTTCTTGTTGGCGTCACAGATGATAACTAATGGATCGCCGGAGAGTCATAATTGCTTTGGGTTTGAGATCTGCCGCCAGCATGAGGCATTAACCGGGAGCGACAGAATTCATGTGACCTGATTCTTGAGTGGATTACCGGAGAGTTTCTGTACTAATTTGGTTGGCCTGACGGTCATATGCTTCTTAGTATGTAGAGTAGACATGGTTGGCAAGTTAGATTTTTCTTTCGTTTGACTGTCTTGATGTTATTGATCTTTCTCTCTTCCTAGTAAGGCCATTGTCTGGCATTTTTTTTAATTAATATTGTAATAAGTTAGGCTATATGCATCTATCATGTAGAGGTGTGGCAATAAAATTTTCTATTATCTAAAAAATCATGATTTCAAACCTTTTTGACAGTAACATGAGGTCATAGGCCTCTCTCTCTCTCTCTCTCTCTCTCTCTCTCTCTCTCTCTCTCTCTGTGTGTGTGTGTGTGTGTGTGTGTGTGTGTGTGTGTGTGTGTGAAAATAGGATTCTTTAATCCTTAAAACAAATTATCATGGATTGAGAGCTAAACTTGAACCTTGTAAATTTTGCATAAAAGGAGTACAAGATGTAGAATCAGATGGAATCTTCTATATAATCATATTGACTTAACGAGGTCAAAAGCTAGGTCAGCGGTGGAAGCTTAAATAGCCATTTTCTCATTATTCATGTATGGTTCAAGTTAGTTGGACCTGTTGAACACCCGCAAAAAAAAAGGTGGACCTATTGAAGCCAAACATGACCAACTTGTCAGTCTTGCCCTTCCATGGAAGGAACAGTACTGCAGTGCACATGGGCCGAACAGAACTAAAAATCTCTGTCGTCCGTCTCATTTGGGGAGTTCCCAGGTCTTCTATGGGGCCTCCTGTGTGATACTGGATATGTCATATAAGAGGGATGCCGCACAAGGGGTTTTAAGGATTTTTCTTTTGTTTCCTTTTCCTTTCTGTTTAACTAGTTTTAGCCAGTTTGGTTTCGTTTAAAATTTTAAAATATGACAGTTATTTATTTACATGAACTATTTCTAGAAAAATGTGTGAACACCTTTATACAATGTGAACTTTTTTAGAATTTCTAAACAGTTTTTAAAGCAAGTGAACATTTTCGGAAATTTATGGAAAATCTATAAATTATGAACATTATTAACATTTTTTGAGTATCTATTTAAAATTCTGAACATTTTTACACAATGCTAATATGTTTAATTTTTTGTGTACATTTTTCAAAACGTGTGAACAATTTTCAATTTTTGTGAATATTTTTTAGAAGAAAATAGAAAATGAAACAAAAGGGAAAAGAAGAGACAGATACTCTGAAGAAAACCATTCAAAACTCCATAAGGAGCCCGGAACTTGACCGAAAGAACCACGACGAACCACTCGAGAAAGAACCATTAGCAATGAACCGTAAAAACCTCGTCCACCTCGCTTCCTAGCGGTGGCCTGGACTGTGTGAATCGCCGACAGTTTGATGCAATAAGTGTCAAAGGGGGGTTTACATCACCTATTGTTGCAAATTAGAATTAGTGCTCGCCTACATGCACATGCCCGTGGGCCGCATCCCATCAAACGATTTTTTTTCACTGACTTTAGTTAGAGTGTGTGATTTCTCCTATATTCGTTAAAGACCAGCATTTATTTTTTCTGATTTTGGTTATACTTATGTATGAAAATTTGGGTGTGTGAAATTAAAGTAAGATGAACTATAAACATCTAGATAAGGTTGCCACTCGAAACGAATGTCCCACTCTGCATCGCAACATCTTTCTGTTTAAAAAAAAACACTTTCACATCAAACGCATTTGTTTCATGTAGTTTTTTAACTAATTATTATTACTCTTCCGGCCTCTGCGCGGAGAAGATGCACAAATTTGCAATATTGGCCAAGTTCCTTGCACTTACAATGTGTTCTTTTGTCCAATGTGTGTCCTATAGTAATTTGTTTGGAATATGAGTATTAACCCCTAAGATTTTTTTTTGTAAAACTCACGATGATGTAATATATGGGAAATTGCGTTTCCAATTGCAATGCCAAGCTCGTAGAATGAAGACTGTGTGCATCAACAATCTGTGGAAATATGTTATGGAGAGCGTGCACCTCATCTATTGCATCAACATTTGGGTGCTCGGTATGGTGAGTGCTGGTTTAGTCTGGCTGTCGGCGGGAGATAATCGGTCGAGCTATGTTCAACTGATATGGGTGGCAGTACAGTAGTATGATTGAAGCAGCATGGGTGCATTTTATCATCATGTTCGCGTTTGTCATAGCGATTGAGCTATTATAACTTCTTTTCTATGAGTTGGCAATAATATATGGTCGTGTGCATCACCAGCATCACCAACATAGAGGCTAGGGGTTAGAGCATCTCCAGCCGCGCCCCCAACAGGCCCCCTCAGGCCACTTTTTCGGCGCCGGCGTCAAAAAACGTTCTAGTCGCGCTCCCAGAACGCCGAAAAACGCCGGTTCGGCCCTTTTTTCCGCCCGGCGGTCACAGGCCGAACCCGGCGCACTGGGAGGCAGTTGGGGGCTCCGGCGCAAGGAAAAAGCGCGGATGGCCCACGCCGTCAGGGGAAAAGTCAAGGTTTTCTTCCCCGACTCGCCTCCCACCCCCCGCGCCCTCGGCCGCCAGTAGCTATATCCCGGCGCTGCCCGCCGCCTTTCACCACTAGATAGCCATTCCACGCCGGAAAAATAGCAGAGCTTCGCCGCGGCAGCCCCTCCAACAGCAGCTGGGCGTTTCCGACCGCCGTTTCCGGCCGCGGAGGGGCAGTTTAGCGGCGGGGACACGCCCACCGGGCGCAAGGTGTTCGGCGATTTGCCTGCCTCGGCGATGGACTCGGATGACAAGAAAGCGCTCGCCGCGCTGCTGGAGGAGGAAGCCGAGGCCGGCGTCCAGGAAGAAGAGCATCTCATGCTGCTCGCCGCCCTCACCCAGCTGCTGGCGAGCAATGAAAAGCCGGGGCGAGGTGGCTCGGCGCCGGGGCGGGTGAAAGCAAAGAACCGGCATCGTCTCGAAGGCTACTGCATGCTCTACTCGACTACTTCGCCGATGCTCCACTTCACGGCGAGAAAACATTTCGAAGCCGTTATCGATGAGCTGAAAGCTCTTCCTCAGGATTGTGAATTCCATCCGGGAGTTCGACAACTACTTCAAGTGCAAGATGGATTGCACCGGCGCCCTTGGATTCACCTCCATCCAGAAGTGCACGACAGCGATGAGGATGCTTGCATACGGAGTTCCCGGTGATACACTCAACGACTATGGGCGCATGGCCGAGTCCACCAGCATAGAGTGTTTCTACAAGTTCTGTCGGGCAGTGGTGGCAGTGTTTGGACCGCGATACTTGAGAACACCCAATGCGGAAGACACTGCTCGGATCCTAGCACAGAATGCAGCAAGAGGATTTTCTGGGATGCTTGGAAGCATCGACTGCATGCATTGGAAATGGAAGAATTGCCCATTTGCTTGGCAGGGGATGTACAAAGGAGTCAAAGGCGGTTGCAGTGTGGTACTTGAGGCGGTGGCCACACAGGACCTCTGGATTTGGCACTCCTTTTTTGGTATGCCAGGAACTCACAATGACATCAACGTGCTGCAGTGCTCTCCTGTCTTTGCCAAGCTTGTTGAAGGTCATTCTCCTCCAGTGAACTTCGAGATCAAAGGGCGGCACTACAACAAGGGGTACTATCTAGCTGATGGTATCTATCCGAGATGGTCGACATTTGTGAAGACGATCTCAAACCCTGTGCCAGGAGGCAAGAACGCCTGGTTTGCGAAGGTTCAGGAGGCTTGCAGGAAGGATGTCGAGCGGGCATTTGGTGTGCTCCAATCTCGATTTGCTGTTGTCCGGTACCCCGCTCAAACTTGGTCGAAAGATCAAATGTGGGAGATTATGACTTGCTGTGTCATCTTGCACAACATGATCATCGAGAGCGAGCAAGAAGACCCAGTGTTTGACACTGAACCATACTACAGGCAGGGTCCTCTAGCCGAAGTTGATCACCAGCTACCGGCAACCTAGACTGCATATCTTAGTATGCGTCAGGAGATCCGGGACCCACAGGTGCATCATCAACTGCAGCAAGATCTGATAGAGCATCTATGGAGGCTCAAGGGCGACGCCGGGCGCGACGGGTGATGAAATATGAGTTTTTATTTGTTGAACTATATAATTTGTATTGAACTATTTGTTGTTGTACTGTTTTGTTGAAATATTTGATATTTCTGTGATGAAATATGTGATAAAAAAATTTATGTGCATAATTGAACGCCGAACAACGGCGAACCACGCCGAATATGGGCCTATTGTCGCCCATATGGGCCCTTTATTCGCCGAAATGGGGTTGAAAAGTGGGCCAATATCGGCGCCTGGGGGCGACGACTGGACGCGAAACCGCCCCCCAGCGCCGATTTTATCGCCGGCTTGCCCCCAGGGGGCGATTTTTATGCGTCCTGGGAGGGCGAACGGCTGGAGATGCTCTTAGATCATCATTTTGAAAAGAAAAACAAGAAACATATGCCCACCTCATGTCATTATGAAGCATGTCTGAAATCTTGATGAATGGTTCTACAACACAATAATCAAGACACATGAATTCTGCCTTCCAAATTAATTCCCCATACTGATGGTGAATCTCAAAGCCAGCTCGATTCTCGATTGTTAAACAAGAAATGTAGACCTACTCTGGACCACTAATTAGCTATTATCCGTGGCCGCCGTAAGGAGGGGCTGTTTCTTGGTATCATCCCACTTGTTCAATCTTTTATGCGCTTCCTCAACCTGAAGGTCAAATAAAACAAGTACATTTACGTATTGTATCTTTATCAATGAATATTTTTAACAATTTGCATCGTCCATATATACTCCTAAGAAGGTTCTGAATCATGCGATAGAAGGCACAGTGGTGAGCAAACAAGAGGTCTGGATGTTAAATTTATAACAACTATGCAAACTATGGCGATAGAGGTAGGTAGAATGAATCTCCGGACCTCACATAATTTAACTCCATTTTCAACATCAACACTTTTGTGAAAAATAATGGAAATGTTTGTCTCAACTTTCTGGTCTATATGTTTAGTGAAAGGGGTACCTCTTTGCTCCAATCGGTTCTGATGGTGACCCACAATAGAATGGCCGTCTGCATAGTCGTTCCTCCAATCATGCCACCCCAAATGCCCTGCAAGCAGGCATACGATGTCATCACCAAACACAAGTTAGAACACAGAAGTAAAGATTTTGTCGTCACCAAATATATATAGTGCAAGGATAAATCTATCACCTTTACGCCGAGGTTGAAGACAAAACCGAGAACAATTCCAAGGGGTACGCCTACGATGTAGTAACAACCAATGTTCACGTATGCAACAAATTGTTGCCATCCACATCCAACAGCAACACCTGATATTTGTATGCATGTTAGTAAAGTTCAGTGACATGTTGTTTGAATAATGCGGTTGACATTAACATTTTCTGAAATGTTGTACTCCCTCCGTTTCTAAATATAAGTCTTTGTAGGGATTTCATTATGGACTACATACGGAGCAAAATGAGCTAATCTACACTCTAAAATGCATTTATATACATCCGTATGTGGTTCATAGTGAAATCTCTACAAAGACTTATAGTTAGGAACGGAGGGAGTACTAATGGACTAGTCAAGAATCAAGATAGCACATGTTGGTGTACAGAAACTTCACCTGATAGTACAGGTTGTATGCCATTGAGAATGAGTGTGATGGCGAGGAGCGGGCAGAGATCCGCCACCGCGTCGGAAACTATTTCACTCTCTGTGAACAAGTAGCTGATGTGGTTGCGTAGGCAGAGCATCACAATGGCAAAGACAACAGAGATGGCTGCACAGAGCGAAGTGACGACCCACACTGAGAAAAATGCTGACTTGGGGTTGCCGGCACCAAGCTCATTGCTAACTCTTACACTGAAGTGAAAACATATCAATTCGTTAATTAGAGTACTACTATTTTCCAAGATGTCAGTATGCAATGATAATGTTGTCAAGTCATTCAGCTTAGAGTCGCGAACCTTGCGGCGGCGTTGAAACCTACTGAGATCATGAACACCCAACCGGAGATTGTCATGCTGCACAAATCGCGGGTTAATTACTAGGCAGAGGCACAAAACAACAGCAAGAATTATGGATGAATGGTACTCACCACACAGAAAGGGAATCCAGAGCAATCTCAGGGTTGGGGAGCAAGCCAGCAATGAGCACCAGGATCTGAAAGTACCACGTCTCCAGGCACAACATGACAGCAGACGCGGCGGAGAGCTTGAGGAAGGCCGGCAAGCCGGAGAAGGCCTGCCAGGTGAACCCGGTCCACGTCTCCCGGCAGGTCGGGCTCACGGCGATGTACGCGAACTGCGCTGCGACGATGATCCACCAGCTCAGGCTGAGCACCAGCGAGGCGCCGAGCAGGCCGAGGCCGGCCTTGTAGACGACGACCCAGCTGAGCAGCAAGTGCAGCACGAGCGTGCCCGTGGAGATGTAGGCGCTGGGCAGGACGATGCTCTGTGCCTGCATGAACTTCTGGATCGGGAAGTTGATGGCGTACGCGAAGATCTGAGGGATGAGGCCGTAGACGAAGATGGACGCGGCGTGGGCGATCTCCGGTGACTGTCCTAATAGCACGAGGAGTGGCTCCGAGAAGGCGTAGATCGCGGCGAGCGGTATGCCGGTGCAGCAGAGGAGCACGGCGGAGCGTTGGAGGTAGGTTCCGAGCATGTCGTACTTGTGCGCACCGAAGGCTTGTCCGCACAGGGTCTCCACTGCGCTACCCATGCCCAGCTGCAGAATGTAATGTCTTATGAGTGTGATAAATTGCGATTAAACAGTCAAACATACCTTTTAAAATCAATATTTCGAAACTAAGGAAAATAAATAAATAATTATCTATATCTGTACCTACTAATAAAGTAAGGTGCGAAGTTCAAATTCAAAATTCAAATCAAATCAAATCAAAAAAATAATAAAGCAAGGTGTGTTTCGCCAATTTTTTCATCCATTCACCGTCGAAAATATTTTTTCTATCCGAGATGGTACTAAATTCTTATGCGCTTGTCTGCTAGAAAAAAAAATTTCGTGCGTGCGTCACTCGCTTATTTTTCTGCCCATACAACTGGGTAAACTCTATTTGCCGCATGGGTCGATAAATAGTTGAAGTTTCGCACAGGACAACCAATAATGGGCAGGCCAATTTTTCTTTTGTGCTTTACTTCTATTTTTATTCTCCTTTACCAATCTCTTTTTTCCCTTTCCAGTTTATTTTTATTTTAATATTTATTTCGTAAATTAAAAATTCCCAAAAATGTTCAGAATGCAAAAAACAAATTGTGGAAAATGTTCGGAATTTCACAATTTGGTTTCTATTTTGAAAAAAATCCGGAACCTGCAAAACGTTGCTCATTTTTTCTTAAAAAATGTTGTTTCCAAAATTGTTCGGGATTTCTAAAAAGAAATGAAATTTCAAAAAATGCACCAAATTTGAAAATAGTAATGTTATAGTGAAATTTTCAAAATTAAAAATAATGTTCGTGTATAAAAGATACACATTTTCTAAAAATCTTATGAATTTTCAACACATGTTCCCGTTTTTTAAAAATCTCACAAATTCAAATAATGTTCATGTTTTTCTAAAAAAGTCGGTCTTTTCAGAAAATATTTGTGAATTTTAAAAGATGTTCCCTGTCATATTCTGTTCGCATTTTTTCCGAAAGTGTATATAATTTCCAGAAAACTATTCAGGATTTAAAAAATAGTTCATGTGTCCTAGGATATTCAGAAGAGAAAATTTCTTATTTGACAATATTTTAAAATCTGCTTCCTTATTTGACACTGAAAAAGTTTTTCTTCACTATTTGACACAAGTTCTTAATTTTATTCCCTATATGACATTTTCGCCCATTTTAAATCTAAATGACACCTGAAAAGACTCTTTTGCCCCTCATGCGGTATGTATGTAGGGGGTAATAGCGCACACACGCAGCATCAGTGCGAGGGCAGGAGCACGCATGCAGCAACACATACACATGCACCAACACACACGCACGCACACACACACGCAACAACATGCATGCGCACATGCACACACACACGCAGCAACACACACGCACGCAGCACACACACATACACACACGCAGCAGCAGCACACACGCAGGCACGCAACAGCACACACGCGCGCGCGCACGTACACACGCAGCAGCAAACATGCACACACACATGCAGCAGCAGCACACATGTGCGCATGGACCCACACACGCAACAGCACACACGCGCGCACACACATAGCACATGAGGGGCAAAATCGTCTTTTGAGGTGTTATTTAGGCTCAAAATGGATGGAGGTGTCGTATAGGGAATAAAATTTAGGACTAGTGTCAAATAGGGAAGAAAATTTTTTCCAGTGTCAAATAAGGAACCAGATTTTAAGACAGTGTCAAATAAGGAATTTTCTCTATTTAGAAACTCCATACCTTAAAATCCCCTCGATTGAAAAGAAGAGTAGATTGAATAACTCCTAGGCCTTCTCTAGCGTACGATGATGTAACAAAACTCTTAAATGCCCTCAATCAATGAATGGAAAAATTCGAATGGAAAAATAGCAGATTGATTCCTTCAGACGCGGCGAAACCGAGAAGCTAAATGTTCCTTTTTCGTGTGCACACAGGGTTTTGCTTGCACAGATAATTCTCACTAACTTTAAATGCATACTATTTTATCTGTTGTTGCAACGCACGAGCATACGTGCTAGCAGACTCTAAATAATACAAAGACATTCAATTCTTTTTTGGATATTAAATATTGAAGAAAACCTCTTGAACAAGTGGGAAAAGCCCATGAATTTGTTATATGGGTCTTGGCATCGTTAGAGTAGCATCTAGGAGGAATTTTCTTATAATTTGAGCCTACCTAATATCTAGACGGTGGGGAGAACAGCACGGCGGAGGTGGCGAGGATGATCTAGGAGTGTAGCATGTACCATTATGTATAATCGCATATCATCGATTATGAAGAAATTTTCAGAGGCAAGGTGTCAAAAGGGGTGAATGTCTGCCCGCAAAAAAAGGAGTGAGCGTCCTAACCAGGAACCAAAAGCACATGAAATTCGACATGTCAACCTTAAGCATTCAAGGGGGTGATATACCCGGTGTTAGAGATTTCCAGGTGAAAACATTAAGAAAATGGATTTTTGGAGATTATTTGTTCGTCACCCCACATATATGAGATTAAAAAATATACTGTTTTTTCTTTTCTATCAATTCAGTTCCGCCCATAGCAGATAGACAGAAGCAGAGCTTGCCTAGAGGATCGATGAAGTGGGCCCAACCAATGAGGTGGTAGTGATCGGTTTTGGGAAGATGCACCAGTTTGTGGAACCTTCCGCCCGGTTTTGAAAAGGCGCAGTGTGTGTTTTTCCTGTGTTTTTCTCTATTATCTTTTAAGACCTTTTTTCAGATTTTTTTTATATTCATCTTTGCTGTTTATGTACTAATTTACTTTTTTCATATACAGATTGCACACTTTCAGATACCCAATGGAAATATTTCAAATAGATGTTGAATTATCCAAATAAATGTCAAAAAAATTCCAAATGCATATTGAATGTTTTTAAATACAAGGTGAATTTTTCAAAAAACACATTATTTTTTCCAAAAAATTAAGAATGTTTTCTAAAAATGCAAAAATTGTTTAAACACTAGCATATTTCATGGCACAATAATAATTTATATGTTGTAAAAAAAGAAAAAATATATACATTAAATTTTTAACAGACATGAAAATATTTTCATTCGAAGAATTATTAGAAGTTTGAACTTTTACAAATTACATGATTTTTTTAATTTTAATGAACATTTTATAAAAATGTAATGTACATATTTTGAAATATGTAAACAGTTTTTAAATATCATGAACATATTTTTGAATTATACAAACTTTTTTTAAAAATGCCAACAACAATCTTACATACCAGAAACATTTGCAATGTGCGGTGAACATTTCCATAAACTAAGTAAAGAAATTTTACCATAGCGGTAAATATTTAGAAGATTTTTGGGATATAAATTCAAGTAAGAAAAGAATAAGAAAAAAGTTGTATCAGGCCCGAAAGAAAAAACGATGGAACATTTGAAGCTTCTATTGAGCCAGCCCACCACAGGCTTGGCTGATGCAAGCACTTCTATCGTCTCACTAAAAGCGAGAAATAGTCGCACCCTTCTGGAAGCGCTTGATGAGGGGAGCTCCAACTTGAAGTGTGTTACAACAGAGTGTCACCTAGTTGACGTGTGTTGCAACAATATTTCAGCTAATCGCATAGCAACAGCAAGGACTGGGCCGGCCCACTTTACGCTCATTGTTGTATCGATATATATTATTCTGTTTTTTCTTTGTTTAAGTATTTTTCACTCAGTTTCCCATTTTGGTTTCCCAAAATCCTTTTTTAGTGAGTAACTTATTGAAATTATGAGATTAATTTTTAATAAAAAATAATAATTAGAAAAATGTGAATATTTTACTTTGTGAAAGTTCTTAAATTTGTGATTTTGTTCCAAAAAATATTTGAATATTTACAAAAAACATTTTTTTTTCAATTTTAGCAATATTTCTATAAACTGTGGACATTAAAAAAAGGTATTAAAAAAGAAAAAGCAGGTAGTGAAAACAATGGAAAAAAGAAAATACCGGGACAAAATCTTGTTGAACCTTCCTGAAATAGGAAAAAATAGACTAGAACCTTACCAAGTAATTGGCGTGGTCCATCTCATGTGACTAGGTGTGTTTTCTCGACATTTTGGTCATAGAGAGTGACAAATATGAAATATCTTTTGATCAGGGCTGCGCGACAACACCGATCCACACATAGGCCAGTTCAGGTCGAGAGCCATGGAGCCTTTCCTTCTCGATAGTATTTTTTTTTGTCATACACTAGACCTCATTACCTAGCTGGCTAACTTAGTATCTCCCTCTCAAGTAAAACTTGGCTACCTTAGTAACTTTGTGTGTGTTAAGAATTATCAACTTTTCGGTGGTAGAATCATTTTTTTAGCTTGATGGTAGAATCATTGCGGACGGCTATATGGCTTAGGCAAATAATGAACTTAGAGAGTATGAATTTATATGGCAATGATCATATTCTAGTGAGGTAGTTTCGGACATGCCCCTGATTTTCCTTGCTCGGCCCTGTTTCGATGTAGAGGATTTGGGGCCAAATTGCACACATGGTCCTGAGTCGAGATTCTCAGTTGGTAGCAAATTGATCATACATGACATCATGTCTAGTGCAACCAAGTGTGATTGAGACAATATTTATAGGAAAAACGAATATTCCAAATCACACGGGAGGTTTCCTAAGTATACAAGTGGCCTATAGGAGCCGGCGCGACTCAACAAGTCAATTTCTGTCCCGAGTCGATCGCCGTTGCAATCCATCGACTATACGCAACCGTAAACAAATCGACCCCATGACACACGAGCTTGGTTCTTGTCATCAACCAATGAACAAACGTGAAATATACTACTAGTGCTCTTCTGGTTCAAATCAATGCTTCCCAAAAGTGACAGGTTGATCGAGCATTTCGATCTAATAAGCTGTGGGTAATTAAGAACAGCAACGACTGAGGTAGCGGTACTATTGTATATGTCCAACACTCCTGGTCAAATCAGCGCCCGTTGATGAGTGGTTAATCGAGCATCTCGGTCTATATATACTACTCTTTCGGTCCAACAATGGCAGGCATGTTCATTGAACACACAACATTTTGGATCTAAACCAAAATGCAGAGTGTGGTTACATAGATACTTCCTCCGTTCCAAAATAGATGACTTAAAGTTCGTATAAAGTTATGAGTCATCTATTTAAGAACGGAGGAGTAACTTTTTGAGATAAAAACAGCGAGTGGCGAATGATTTGGAGACGAGACGGAGGGGAGTCAGTGCGCGCATACGTACCATGAGGCCGTAGGCGAACATCTGGACGCCGGTGTTGCCGAGGGAGGCGGCGGCGAGCTCCAGGCTCCCGAGGTGGCCGGAGAAGATCTGCGTGGACATGGACATGAGGTAGTTGATCATGTACATGACCACCGCCGGCGCCGCCAGCCGCAAGAGCATGCCGAGCTCGATCGCCCCCGCCGCCCACACGCGCCCCGCCAGGGGCGCCGACGAGTCCGTCAGGATGCTCTCCAGCCGGCCCGGCGCGCCATGCTCATGCTCGTCCCCGTCCGCCATGCGAGGAGCTATCCCCTGTCGATCGATCGAGCGAGCGAGTGTCTGTGCTGTGTTGGCGTTGACTGAGGTGGTAGCTCCGCTCGGCCAAGTCCGTCGACGGACGCTGGCGCATATAATGGCGCGATCTGTCTCTGTGTGTGTGTGTTTTTGCTCCTTGAATCAATGCGGCAGCTACCGACAGGTGAGGTGACCACTTCTTCTCTAGCTGTAGGCTGCTCACCACAGGTTGGTGTGGTAACAACTTGCCAAAGGTGTCCAAACAAATAAATAAAGTAAAAAAAAAACTTGCCAAATCTCGCCGGCTCGCCACGATATTAACTGTGGCTCCGGCTGTACAGTGGGGCCCAGCTAGCCAGCGACGGACATACCGAGCGCTCAGCACTCAGCCGGTTTCCAAACGAGTGAATTCACACTCTAAAATATGTCTACATACATCCATATGTTATAGTCAATTTAAAATGTCTACAAAGACAAATACTTGGGAACGGAGGGAGTACAAGCTACCCCTCCGTCCCATAATATAAAAGCATATTTTACACCAGTTTCTAATACAACCTCTCCCTATACACCTTGTCATCTTCTTCCCCGAGCTTCTAGAAGGATGTGAACTCGACCTTGCTATGCTTTCGTGCGCTCGATGTCTTCGGTGGCTTTGGTTCGCTTACAAGAGGCAGCGCAGGGTGTGGATGGACTTTGAGACTCCATGTCATGAACAGGATTAAGATCTTTCGACGTCACCAACATCCCTATCGGGGATGGCGAGACGACGAGCTTTTGCGGCATGGCTGCAAGGATGTAAGCCCAAGGACATTGCCCTAGAAATTTTTTAGCTTTCCAACACCAAGAACTGCAAGCTGGACAAGGCTTTGCAAGACAACGATTGAATGAGGCGCATAGACCTGCAGCATGGCCTCTCGGTGGTTCATATCCAGGAGTTGTTTATATTTTCATTTTGTTTTGTTTATATTTTTGCAATATTCTAAATACATATACTCCAAATAATAATTTACTCAAATATTGAAAATGCTCATTGCACATTTAAAAAATGTCTATGCAACATAAAGTCATGTTTGCACTACTTAAAAAAATGTTCATAGCACTAACACATGTTTTACATTTAAAAAAGGTACATGTGTTGCAAAAAAATGTTTCGGTGTTGTTTTAATTTTTTTACCTAATGTAAAAAAAGAATGTTCATATAATAAAAAATATCTCATACCATTAAAAAATAGTGTTCACGCTTTCAAAAATTATTCATCACATTTATAGCAAATTTTTATGTATTGTAAAAACTGTTGACGCAATTTTAAAAATGTTTTATCCTTTCAAAAAATGTTTATACGATAAAACAAAAAGGGTCTACACTTAAAAAATATTTTATACCATTCATAAATTGTTCAACATGCATTGAAAAATGTTTTGCACGTACCAAAAAAAAATTCAAACATGCTTGAATAAAATGTTCATCCTGTGTTCGAAAAATGTTCAACATGTACCTATGGAATGGTCCGCATGTATATGAAAAATTTACAACATGTATTTAAAAATTTTGACATGTGTTTCAGAAAATAAAAGGAAAAAAGAAGGATATAAAAATAGAAAAACATAGAAAACCGATAAGAAAAACACATCGAAAGAAACGTACACAACCTTCTAACACCGATCCAAACCGGACCATGGAATCTTGCCAAAACAACTCAGGCCGCGCTTGGAATCTCGTTTTCTAGCTGATATACACATGTAAAATAAACCCCCATAAAAGAAACCGTGGACGGCTGACCACGCGCTTGGAACGTCGTTTCAGCGGCGTAATAATTACACTGGTTTCCACAAATACACCTGTAATGGGCTGGTATCTGATACACCCTGCAGCCCATCCGATTTAAAAATACAACTCCTACTTCGCTGTCGGGTATTTAGTTGGAGACTGTTAAGATACAAGTGTGAAAATTTACAGGTATAGGAATGATCAAGCAATCCAATCGGGGCCTCAGTGGAGCTACAGTTTTGGGCCAGCATGCTAACCTCGTGCCAGTGGCCAGCTTGTCTCTCGTTGCAGGCGAGATAGGGCGCGCCTATGTCTCGCTTATAGCGAGGCAGACTGCTGCCTTCTCCGCGAGCATGCTGCAAGCTGCCGGTGCCGGTCCAGTAGGGACGTGAGTCGTCGATCTGATGTCATGCTAATTTCGTTTTTATTATTTATATTATTTTTTTACTTATATTTGAAATAAATATAATTAGAAAATATTTTACTTTCGAAAATTAAAACCATGAATTTGAAAAATCCTAACACGGTATAAATAGTGTGAGCTCAAATTTAGGAAATGTTGATAGGTTTCAAAAAAAATGTTCGTAAAAATGAAAAATTGTCTCTGGGTTTCAAAATATATATGTGTTCTTTCGAATGTGTATACAATGTAAAAAAAGTGTGTAGTATAAAAACTGTTTCGTAACATTAACAAAAGAACATGAAATTTTGAACATATGTTCCCCTGTTTCAAAAAAATGTTTGCGAGATTTACAGAAATGTTTATACAAATGTAAAGAAATGTTCATGTCCTTCAAAGAAAATTTAAGTGAATTTTTTTAAGAAAAACGCATACACGATGTAAATAATAAGTTGTGTAGGATAAGAAAAATGTTTCATACCATTAAAAAAATTACATGACAGAAATGTTCCCCCGTTTCAAAAAACAAAATCCTGACATTTACAAAGACTTGCATACAACTGTAAGAAAATATGACAGTTAAAATAATTATTTGTGAATTTTTAAAATGCATACAATGTAAAAAAAGTAGTGTAGTATAAAAATGTTACCTACCAGTAAAAAAAGTACATGATTTTTTGAAGAAATATTGCCCCGTTTCAAAAGATTGTTTCTGACATTTACAAGCTTGTTTATACAAATGTAAGAAAAACCATGTCGCTCAATAGTAATATTTCAACGTATATTTGATAAATATTGACCATGATTAATAAAGTGTTCAAACATGTATTGAAAGGAAAATGAACATCGTGTATTTGAAAAATGTTTGACGTTTACAAAAATATATTTCACGTGTACACGAAAAAAATAGATATTCTGCACTGAGAAACGTGGACATGTGTTAAAAAAAGATAAGCAATGAAAACCGATAAAAAAAAACTAAAAGGAGAAGGATGAAAACCGAGAAAGAAACAAAGAAAACTAAGTTATAACGAAGCAAAAAATAAAAACAATGGAAACCGGTGAAAAACAAAGAAACCCAAAATATAACGAAAAAATGAAGTGCTGAAGAAAAAAAAACAAAAGAAAACGAAGACAGAAAAATACGATACAAAACCGATGGCAAAAGCACGTTGAAACATGGTCAATATTTCTGATAGTGTACACTTTCCCGCTTTATTAATAAAACATTTTTATCATATGTTTCAGATAGTATACACTATCCAAGTTGCCCCCGCGTTGCTCCCTCGGGGCGACTTGGGTGGCTCCAAAGTCTGCCGCCGGCCTCTCCCCTGACCTCGACACCACCAGAGAAACCACCGGCAAGCCCGCGCGGCACCAAGGAAGGTGGCGGCGAGGCTTGCTGCTTCTGCCTCACACGAAGGGCATGGCGTGTCGGGGTAGCGGCCCCGGTCAAGGTGGGCGCGCTGTCACTGCGGCGGCGGGTGCTCGACTGGTCTCCTCGACGTGCTTGGGCGGCGAGGTTCGGTGGATGGAGCTCGCGATGGCCGGACTTCCTTTCATCGGTCGGCCGCCAGATCTAAATCGACCAACCCCATCCTCCTCACCCTCTCCCGTTCGATCTAGGCTCCGGTGTGGCCTTGGTGGTCGTCGTTTTGGCGGTGGGGTTCCTAGGACCAAGGGAAACCTATGGCTGCCGCCGCCGGCGACCACAACGACAACGACGCTGCAGCGTCGAACCACTTCTTGGAGGCCTCGTTGAGGTATCCCACCCCATCCATCCTTCCCTGCATCTAGGTGAAAACTTTGGTCCTTCTTCAGGACGATGGTGGCGCTATGGCACCGTACCCCTTTCTGAAGGCGCCGTCCTTGGATCATTAGGTGGATGTCGTGTTGAGATGTGTTGGTGCCTGCTGTGGCGGCATTTCTCTTCATCAACTTCTCGTCATGTTGATTTGTTTCGTGTTCCTATCCTGAAGACGTGCGTCTCTTTCGTGGATGTGTCATGGCAACAACTGTTTCTTGTGGAGCTAAATGTGGTCTGTTGTAGCCGCTCCCATGGTACACATGTGTTGGGGAACATTGCAGAAAACAAAAAAAATTCCTACGGTTTCACCAAGATCCATCTATGAGTTCATCTAGCAACGAGTGATCGGATTGCATCTACGTACCTTTGTAGATCACGCGCGGAAGCGTTCAAAGAACGGGGATGACGAAGGCGTACTCGACGTGATCCAAATCACCGGAGATCCTAGCGCCGAACGGACGGCACCTCCGCGTTCAACACACGTACGGTCAGCGTGATGTCTCCTTCTTCTTGATCCAGCAAGGGGGAAGGAGAGGTTGAGGAAGATGGCTCCAGCAGCAGCACGACGGCGTGGTGGTGGTGGAGCTGCAGTACTCCGACAGGGCTTCGCTAAGCTCTACGGAGGAGGAGGTGTTGGAGAGGGAGAGGGAGGCACCAAAGGCGTGGGGTAAGAAGTCCTCCATCTCCCCACTATATATAGGAGGCCAAGGGGGGCGCCGGCCCTAGAAGATCCAATCTCCTAGGGGGGTGCGGCCAAGGGGAGGAATCCCTCCTCCCCAAGGCACCCAGGAGGTGCCTTCCCCCTTTGGGACTCTTCCCTTCTTGAACCCTAGGCGCATGGGCCTCTTGGGGCTGGTGCCCTTGGCCCATATAGGCCAAGGCGCACCCCCTACAGCCCATGTGGTCCCCGGGGCAGGTGGCCCCACCCGGTGGACCCCCGGGACCCTTCTAGTGGTCCCGGTACAATAGCGGTGACCCCGAAACTTGTCCCGATGCCCGAAATAGTACTTCCTATATATAATTCT